CAAATGCTGAGATGTTTACTCAACCAGCGACTAACTGCGGCTGATGAAGAGATATTTGGTCTGTTTGAAAGAACGATAGCAGAGTACGAGGAGGAAGTTTCCGCTTTAAAAGAGCAGAACGAGCGACAACGGAAACTGCTGGACGCTGTTTTCAACCCTCAGCTGCGGTTACACAGAGCAGGTTGGTTCACTTTATTTCTTCTGTTCATGCTCCGGCTGATAACGTTTCTATGTAGTTTGGAGTGAGACTCGGTTGATTCAATGAATCTTTTTCTTCTTCTGATCTGTTCTCTCAGCTTCTAGATGACAGAAAATATTTAACGGTGTTGTATCCCGAACCGATGTGCGAGATCAACAGGTTTTGAATTCACTGGTTTGTGTTCGAATGCGTAAAGCTGATGTGTGGTAGGAGTGGCCTTTCAAGACCCACGTAGAATAAACAGGAAATAAACATTTCGAACGTTTCTCTTCTCGCTTTCACGTAGTTTCTACGGTTTCGTTTGAAAGAATATAAACGGAACACTTTGCTGGAAAATGTACTACTCGTTAATGAGGCTGTGGTTGAGATTCCGAGGACACATAACGAGGACCAGAGTGAATGAGAAAGTTGGTGATCGGTGTCGATGCCTGTTCAAAAATACTTACGTCAATACATCCTTTAAGAAACGCTCTGTTGTCCGTCTTATATTTGTATCATATATCGTTATTAATCTGATGTCAGGTCGATTTGAGAGCTGTCTGTGCATCCATACAGCCTGTGAGTTAAACATATGAGCTCAAACACCGCGTACAGATGACTGTCAACTGTGGGAAGCTGCGATCCACCCAGATTAACTTGTGATTCAACTTCTGTAGGCTATCTCACATCACTTATGTTTTATATTAAAGACTACGGACATGCATCTTATGTTAACGATACTCTACACTGTGCAGCACACATTCATCCAGATTAGACATGTCATGACTGGTAACTCTCGTTTTGTTACTAGAGGGACCGACATTTAATAACTACACGCAGGGGTTAGGGTGTCTGTTGAAACATTACGATGGAGAGGCTTGTTGGAGTATTCATTTAGGATTTCGACAGCATTACCACGACCAATTATCCAACTTCATTACGAAAATAAGATTTGTTGTCTAGTGACATAAAAATAGTAGGGTCGCCAAAATTACCATCAATGCTGTTAACACATCCGGGAACGTAGTTCTGTCCTTCACAATAAAATATCACGCTTCAACAACTCCAAATTGAGCAATAAAAGCTCCTTAATTTCCGCTTGAGTGTATACCACCACCTGCTGGATGTTTTGTTAAACTCTTCTCATGTCAATTACTGGCAAAACACCAGCTGATGCATGGAATTTAACAATTATGTACACGGATATTGTTTATAACAATAACTATCATAACACAGTGCAGAGTAAGAGTTCTATTACAACTAAAAACACAAGTATTCATGATTGAAAAGCTATATTGTTAAAGTGAAAGACAAATAACTTGTGCAAATGATTGAAAAGATGATGCAAATATTTATTTAAAATCAAAAGTAAAATAAAAAATCCGGACACAAATGGCATTTAAAATAATCCTCATCATCCAGCTCCTCGTCCCAGCCCACACACACAGTGTGATACCATGTGTGGCAGCTGTCACACTGGACCCACGACTCTGAGCTCTCGGGAGGGTCAGGTTCCCGGCACCGGCCACACTCGCAAACTGTCTGCTCCATCTCTTCAGGAGGGTGACCTATTAAAATAATTTTGTTTTACTTTAAATTCAAGAAAATTATCAGATTTTCATGGGTTGGCATACGATGAAAGTTTACATGAAGTACACTACCGGTGGATGTCGTGGGTCCAGCAGACGAGGAGCTGGATGATGAAGGTCGGGTCTCTGCAGGTTGGGAGGCTTTATAAATAACAGAAAAAGCATAACCATGTTTTGTTTACTCTTCATCATGGCGAATGTCACCATCATGTTATAATAGTCTGTTTTTTTCAGATTATTTAAAGCATTTACAGTGGGAGGGAGAGGAAGGAGTTTGGGACCCATAGAGGCCACGTCCTGCAGCCGATGTTGAAGGCTCTGAAATAATAATCATATTTTATTATTAACACAAATACAAACTCATAATAATAGTAAATACATTCTGATTTATACGTGAAGTCAAAGGCAAAATAGGTATGCGCTGACCAGGAGACTGGGGAAGGTGGCGGTGTTCCTCAGCAGGCAGGCTCAGTGGTGAAGAGGGGGCAGAGCGGGATGAGGGACCGGCGATGGAAAGTCCGGGGCTGGTGGCTGTAGTAGCCCCGAGGGACACTGGTCTTCTGCAGCTGGGGCGAGAGCTGCCAGACAGGGTAGAGGAAGTGGCAAAAGTCGAGCAAAATGGTAATAAATCCAAAGTCGGTCACGCTACGCGATCCGCCACTTGCTCTTAATGAAGTGTCAGTCATTCAGTTATTATCCATTAAGTCATACCTCGTCAGTGTCCAGGGAACATTTGGGTTTGGGGTGAACTGAAACCACACTGGAAAGGGGGTGCAGCATACATTAGTCCACATGATCATTAGTGCAGCGTACTATAACTGCCCACATGATCAAATCTCAGCCGGACTTTATGGAGGATGCAGGTTCTTTGAATACTCCTTAACAATGTTGGTAGTGCCACACTTTTTTGCCATGTTGTGACGACCCTCCTCCTCCCATATACCAGGTGTCCCTGTGTGGTTGCTGATGTCTTGCAGGTGCTGATTGGAGGGTCGTTAGCTGAATGAGCCACACCTGAGCCGGTGTGGTTGTGCCTTTTTAAAAGATCCTCCTCTGTTGGCAGCCTGGGGCTCGGGGAGAGGAGCTCCTGTTGCCCACCAGCATTAACATCATTCTTTTGGTTGATCTGTCTGTTCTTGTTTTTTTACTGCTACACACACACCCATACATGCACCTCAGGACTGATAACTGACACCAACTTTTATATTGTTAAATTATGTTTGAACAATAAACCTGCTTTTCTTAGCAGCCAGCTTGTTGGTCTTTCTGGTTTGTCTCAGTCACGGAGCCGGGCTGTGGCAATGTAAACTATTGATGACCTCATTGCTGCTGGTGTGTTGTCTTTACAATTTGTGTCAGCATGTCTGTTTGGTAACTGTGCACAGGGAGTGTAAGAGGGAATGATGGCAGGAAATAAGTGTATCTATAGGAGACTATTTGCTCAATACTAATATTTCTTTGTAACGTCTCTGTGTGTGTTTACTGGTTTCCTGCAGACGTCCAGCAGCTGTTGGTGGTTCAAGAAGAGGTTCCCCCTGAGCAGCAGGAGTGGAGCTCCAGTCTGGACCAGGAGGAACAGGAGGACCCAGAGCCCCCACACATTAAAGAGGAACAGGAGGACCCAGAGCCCCCACACATTAAACAGGAACAGGAGGACGCAGAGCCCCCACACATTAAAGAGGAACAGGAGGAACTCTGGACCAGTCAGGAGGTAGAGCAGCTTCAAGGGCTGGAGGAGGCTGATGTCAAGTTCTCATTCACTCCTGTGAAGAGTGAAGATGATGAAGAGGAAGCTCAGTCCTCACAGCTTCATCAAAGACAAACTGAACAGATGGGAACAGATTCTGATGGAGAGGAACGTGGAGGACCAGAACCAGACAGGAACTCAGATCCAGATGGATATCCAGAACCAGATACTGATGAGAAGACTGGAGACTCTTCTGACAGTGATGATTTGAAGGAGACCAGAGAACCTCAGTCAGGTTTAAATTATTTGAAACCTGATGAATTCCATGTCAGTGATTCAAGATGTAGTGCTGGTAAGAAACTGTTTACATGCTCCGAGTGTGGGAAAACAACTGGCACAAGGGCAGATCTGAAGACACACATGAGAACCCACACAGGAGAGAAACCTTACAGCTGCAAAGTTTGTAAGAAATCTTTTAACCAGCAACCACATTTGCAGAGACACATGAGAATCCACACAGGAGAGAAACCTTTCAGCTGCAAAGTTTGTAAGAATTCTTTTAGGGTTTTTTCAAATTTACAGACACACATGAGAATCCACACAGGAGAGAAACCTTTCAGCTGCAAAGTTTGTAAGAATTCTTTTAACCAGCGTTCAAATTTAAAGAGACACATGAGAATCCACACAGGAGAGAAACCTTTCAGTTGCTCAGTTTGTAAGAAATCTTTTAGGGATTTTTCAACTTTACAGTCACACATGAGAACCCACACAGGAGAGAAACCTTTCAGCTGCACAGTTTGTAAGAATTCTTTTAACCGGGGTTCAACTTTAAAGAAACACATGAGAATCCACACAGGAGAGAAACCTTTCAGCTGCTCTGTTTGTGATAAAAGATTTCGGCAGAAGTCTGCTCTGAAGTCACACATAATTACTCATACAAGAGACAACCGGCTTTAGTGGTTCTGTTTGTATACAAAAGGTAAATCTGACACACCACATAACACAGGGGAAGAAATATGGTGCTTTTTCTTATCTTTATTCAAAAGCATGTTTTAATTTGAGAGCATTGCTTATTGATTCCACGTTCAGATTTTGAATTGTTTCCCTCAAAACCCTGTCCTCACACACAATTAGCCCCCGCTTGCGATTAGTGACACAATAAACCTTGATTGCTCTGAGAGATCCATGCTTTGTTTAAGGTGACGCCTCCTCACGTTGGCAGGGAGCTTAGTACTGTCTTTTGTTTGATCCAGTAGACTAATTGAGTTTTTATTTTCTAGTTAGTGTTGGTTTTCTAAAGGGGTCCGGGGCACGCTCGCCTGGAAGAAAATGTTGTATATTTTAAAGTTAAATGCATCAATCTGGTGCATTTTGAGACCAAAATCAAGGGGCTCGTTCTATGAAGAGCTTTGTGCTCTTGTAAACTATTTTGTGCTCTTCTTTTAGCAGTGGTGGAATGTAACCAAGTACATTAACTTAAGTATTGTACTTGACATTTTTGAGGTACTTTACTTGAGTACCTGCTGTTCATTTAATGATAATTTTTAAATTACTTTTCATTAATTGATTCATGTATAATCTTATATACTCTCGAGATGAAAATTGTTTAAGATAAGTAAATGAAGTAACCTTGGATTGAATTACCTGTTTTGTTGTTGTCAAATATTGCCAATATTTACAGCTGATAACGCCGTTCCAAGCTTAACATTGTTAGCTCTGTCAGCACTGTTGTTGTGTGAACTGTTGCACCCTTGTTGCCATATTGAGAGCCGTGCGGAGGCGATCCTTCAATCATACATTTGTTCTGAGTTTGTAATTCAGCAGATTTTAAATATTTTTGTACTTAATTCACACTGTTTTCATCCTCTAGCTACAGTTTGTTAAATGTATGTGATAGTACTGCTTTTTATTGTTTGAATAAGTTGATATCTGATTGAATAATAAAGGTATTCAGTTAGTAAATTGTTCCAGCTGTCAACATGTTTATGCAAGGTGGTAAAAGTTCAATTACGGGGAACCAGCTCCCTTATAAGAGACCTTAGCTCTCCTGAATATAACAAAAGTTTAAGTTTGGCATCTCCAAAAAGTGTTAAACCATCTACTCTGACTGTCAAGATGTTAAGTGACAGCAAAGCTGTTATCAGACACCATGAGAAAACCCTAAAACGAGTATACTGAAGCCTCCACCAGTCATGTGACTCTCACCTTGCAGGTCATAGCGGTCTGTTGAGTCTCAGCAGATGGAGTTCTCAGGATGATGCCTTCTATTTTTTTACCCTTTACAAAACCAAAAACATGAGTGTGACGGTTCCCTATCTTGCGTACTTGTGTATGTTCCTTTAAGCCAGCAGGTACCAGAGGTGGTGATCATCCTAAGTGGAGGCACCTGGGCCCGGTGCGCTCCCACTATAAGGCTCCGCATATAGTTACGCAGTAACTCAACTTTACATCTGACTGTTTTAGCAGGTAAATAATGTGCGTTCAGTGATGGTGAGATGAAGCTGCATGAAGCATTGAAGCTTTCCATCCAATTGGTTCACTCATGGGCCGAGGCTTCATGGTGCTTCATCTGCTCTACTGCGCCATCAAGTGGACAATAAATGTAGAACAGGCAGAGTGATTATAATGACACCATGGCTTTGGTGTGTGAAGCTTTGAATTGAATACATGAATGAATGATGTTTGTGTTTTGCTGCCCCTTATATTTATATATTATTATATATATATTATATATTTATACATGAACTAACTCTAACCCTTTATATATTTATATAATGTTTGTGATGCTCGAATAGATCGCGAACAAATGCGCAATAAAGTCCCAAGTCCACAAAATGTGAGGGGGGATCCATTGCATTTCGCTGCCGCTTATATTTATATATTATTATATATTTAACCAAACCCGCGAACCACTTCCTGGTAAGGGGATAGGTTATCGGGTCCACACTCCAATATAGTAGGTGGCGGTAATGCACCTTTCAGTGGATGCCATCCGCCATAAAACAAAAAAGAAGAAGAAGAAGTCACGTGGTACGGCCGGCTCGAGAGGCTTTGAACGTCAACACAAACGTCATCAACACGAGCCTCGATCCGCGCCTCAGAAAAATCTTCCTGATTAGTCGACACTCGCTTCGAAGCCTCCACGCGGAAGGAACCATCACTAGTAAACGGTGTTGTTGACG